AAGTGGCCAAGGTTGAGAAACCCTGCCTTAGAGCTACAGAGAAAGCAGAAAAGAAACCCTGGCTCCCTCTCTGGAAGAATGCATCCAACCCAGTTTGTTGCAGCAGCCCGGCGAATTGCTTCTCCCCCCCGAACAGCCACAGGCCCAGTTCTGCTCTTCCACGTCCCCAGCGAAGGCGAGCAGAGGCAGGCCCTGATCTTACGCCAGCCGCCTTCCTGCATCCCATGCAAGAGAACCGGAGCCGGCCAGCCCATGGGTTGGGGGTCGGTCCTGCTAACGCCAAGCCTTAGGGCTGGTGGGGTGCTGCCCAGCAAGCGTGGGCAGAAAGGCAGACGCCTGCTGGCAGCAGCCTTCCTTTTTGCCCAGAGAAAGGCTGAATAACGGCCCCGCTTCTTGGAAGGTGCAGGGAAAGGCCGTTCCTGCCTGCCATCGTGACAGAAGTAGAGGGCGGCCAGATTTTAGCACCGCTCGTTAGCTTGTACTTGCCTCAACAATGTCCCCCAAAAGGAGGGACAGATTTCACCATCTTTGGGAGATCTATAGTGAATGGTGTGTAAGAGAGAAACTCTTGGGCTGATCCCCACGATGAAGATTCTTCTAAACTTTTGGAATGAACCCAGAAGTTACTACTCCCCCAGCCAGTCTTAAGTTTTTTTTTCTCTTCAAAGTGGTCCTACAGCCCATACCTCCATTCACTCCTCTAGGCGATGTTCAAAACCAGTGGCATTTGAAATACAGGAAGTATTACTATTTTTAGTGCGGTCGTAACTTTGAATGGTCGCTAAACGAACGGTCGCTAAGTGAGGACCACCTGTACAGATATGCCACAGAAGGCTGTCATGGGGCCCATCGAATTCATTTCAGGACAAAACACTTTGTGAACTTCACCATTTAAGAGCATTTAAGCAGTCATAACAAAATTGTCTTGTATACAGGATTTATGTCTGATGGTGCAGACCAGGGTTTCCCAACCTTGGCAACTTTAAAATTTTGGGGAGTCAAGACCTCCGCATATTCACCCCGCAAACGGTGGGCGTGGAGAGCGCTCGAAGGACAGTGCCTCAT